AAATTGGTTAAACACCTGTCGAAAACTAAAGCTCTATGCCAATATATCACCCTGCACCAGAATCAACTATAAATAGATCAAAGATCTCGAAGTCAAAGCAGACACCCATAAAACATTACAGGAAGGAATAGGAGAAACTCTAGGTCTCCTTGGCACAGGCCAAATTTCTTAATAAAGATCCAGAAACACCACAAATCAAAGAAAAGTTGGGAAAATGGGATTGCATGAAGCTGCAGAGCTTCTGCATGGCAAAGGACATAGGTAGCAAGATCAATAGAAATCCCACAGACTGGGGGAACATATTAACTATCCATACAATGGACAAGGGTCTCATGTGTAAAATACACTTAGAACTCAAAAAATTAAATCTCCCAACAACAAATCCTCAAAGAAACAACTGCCCAATAAATAAGTGGGCTAAAAATTTAAAGTGAAACTTCTCTGAAGAGGAAAGAAGGATGGCCAATAGACACATGAAGAAATGCTCAATCTCCCTAGCCATAAAAGAAATGCAAATCAAAACAACATTAAGATACCACTTCACCAGGGTTAGAATGGCTAAAATCAAGAACTCTAATAACAACAGATTCTGGAGGGCATGTGGACAGAAGGGAACCTTACTGAATTGTTGGTGGGATTGTAAACTTGTTCAACCACTTTGGAACGTAGAATGGAGGTTCCTCAAAAGACTCCACATAGAGCTCGCCTATGACCTGTCCCGACCCGCAGGACGTCAACAAGGGCAGTTAACTTAAGTTAGAAGGAATGAAGGGACAAGAGACACGAAGAATGACAGCAAGACAAGGGTTCTGATCAAGCTGCAAATTTTTATTTTTCACACAAGGGTATTTATATGCTTGGAATAAGGAAGGTTTTTTATTGGGCCTTAAGGAAGCTTTTTCATTGGCTATAGCAGTGCAGGATGTTTGCTTAGGGCAGGGGGAAAGGGTGGTCATTAGCAGTTGCAGGATGTTTACTTAAGGCAGGAGGAAAGGGTGGTCCTTAGCAGTTGCAGGATGTTTACTTAGGGCAGGATGAGGGTCCGATTCTGTAAACTCAGCCTCAAGATATTCCAGTGAGACAGTCAAGCCAATATGTTGAAAGACTCAACTTTTGGCTCCTGACATCTCCCCCTTTCTTATTTAGAAAATTGACCATAAATTGTTGGCTTCTCTTTTTAAGGGGGTGACAGAGGCTCTGTTCCTCTAAGGGCCCAGGGTTTTTCTCCGCTCTCGAGCGAGCGTCCTCACTCAGGGTGGGGAATTTTACAGGCCTTGGCATGTTTTTTGAGGAGACGGTTTGTGGGTATGCATGCCAACCATCATGCATCCGAGCTTGCCACTCAGGGGTTTTGGGTTATGGGATCTCGCGGATCCATCCCCCTGCAGTCTTACCTGTACCCTTGATTTGAGCATTTGTTCTTCCTCCCCCAAGCAGAGGGGCCTATAGGAGGAGGGGCGAACCTATCCCTTATGGCAATAGGTCTTGCCTGTTGAATGGTCAGGAGTTATGAATAAGGAGAAGGGTTTTCTAAATAAGAAAAAAGAAGGGGGGTTCCCCACTGGAACAAGCTCATGGCAAAACACTAATTAAAAGCATGGAGTAAATCCTAGATCTCAATGCTTTGGTCTGCCATATCAAGGAGATGGTGATGAACCTGTATGGGCTTAGAAGCCAAGAGATCAATCTGTTGTTTAATAAATTCAAACAGGAAGGTCCAAGTCTGGAGTTCTAGCTGCATTTGTAAGAGAAAAGGAATCATCCTCAGGGGGAAGTTTCCAACCCTGGGTTGTGGTAAGCCATTAACCTGTTTTATCAAGCTTTCTGGCAGCCACCGTGGGGTCGCTTGTTCTTGATCTAAAATACAGGCTGAACCTCACCCCCAGATAAGAACAGGATCTGGGCCCTTCCATTTGCCTGTAAGGGGGTCTCACCACATGACAGACGGGCGCTCAGAACTGGAAGATGGGTGCAATGCCTGTCAGCTGCCGAGTGGCCTTCATTGTCCAGAGTTAGAAAATTAAGGGCGAACAATGGGTGACTAAGGCGATCCCTAGGAGTGGAAAATGAAAAGGCAGAGGCTTTGAGGCGAGTAAGCCAGGGTTTTAGGGTGTGGTGGGCTGGCTCTATGATGCCCTGACCTTGGGGGTTATAAGGAATCCCAGTAGTATGACAAATCTGAAAAATAGCACAAAACTGTTTAAACTTGGCACTGGTATAAAATTTCATTAATCAAATTCCAATAGGAAAAGATGGAAGCAGGAACCTTTTCTGGACCAAAGGTTTCATAATAATCTTTTAAACAATCTCCTACTCTTTGCCATTTTTTGCATCTATGGTTCCTTCAAGGGGGAACCAAAGACACAAGTCCTTGAGAAAAATAACTCTAAATCCTTTTTCTTAACCCCCGTTCCCCTTGTCTTGAGGGCCTCCTTGAGGTCTGACAGAAATAGATCCTGTGATGACATTGCTTGTCCCATGGTGGGTCACTCACCTTGCATCATCCTCACTCTCCTCCTGGATCTGTCTCTTGGTGGGGTCTGTCAAGGCAATCTCAGACTGTACTTGGCCAAGTTTTCCCGGAGGACAGCATTCCTTCCTTAGTCAGAGGCTCATGCCCCAAGTTGGGCGCCAGTTGTCCCCACCCGCAGAATGTCAACGAGGGCAGTGAACCTAAATTAGAAGGAATGAAGGGACAAGAGACATGAAGAATGACAGCAAGACAAGGGTTCTGATCAAGCTGCAAATTTTTATTTTTCACACAGGGGTATTTATATGCTTGGAATAAGGAAGCTTTTTCATTGGCCGTAGCAGTGCAGGATGTTTGCTTAGGGCAGTGGGAAAGGGTGGTCCTCAGCAGTTGCAGGTTGTTTACTTAGGGCAGGAGGAAAGGGTGGTCCTTAGCAGTTGCAGGATGTTTACTTAGGGCAGGATGAGGGTCAGATTCTGTAAACTCAGCCTCAAGATGTTCTAGTGAGATAGTCAAGCCTATTATGTTGAGAGTCTCAACTTTTGGCTCCCAACAATGACCCAGCAATCCCACTTTTGGGCATTTACCCAAATGTTTACAAACAAGAACACACTAAAGCTACCAGCATGACTATGTTTATTGCATCATTTTTCACTATAGATAAGATATGGAACCAACCCAGATGCCCCTCAGTAGATGAATGGATCAAGAAAATTGGTATATATACACAATGGAATTCTATGCCTCCATCAGAAAGAATGGCATTGCCCCATTTGGTAGGAAATGGAAAGACTTGGAAAAAACTATACTAAGTGAAGTAAGTCAGGCCCAAATAAACACAAGTCCCATGGTTTCCCTTATTTGCAATATCTAGTATATGTCTGAGTGAAGCAGAAATGTTCAGATAAGGTGATGTTAGGGAAATGAACCCTAAGATATGTATTCAAATGTTGTTTTTCTTTCATGCGATTGTTTCTAACACATTTATAAGATATTTCTTTGTTGCTTTGTATGTCCCTCCCCTACAATATAACCCCTGCTTCCACTGTATTTGATGTCCGTATAATTTGTGGAGGGGAAGGGGAAAAACAATTCTTTATATAGGGATACAGGTGGACCCATTGCAACAATGAGATGTACAAGTCGTTATGTCAAAAACGAACTTTACCATATTCATTGGAAGGGGGGGAGTGGGGAAGATTAGGGGGCTAGGGGAGGATGGGAAGGAATGGGAAGGAGAAACAAAGGAGGAGGCTACAATGCTTGATAAAAAATGTACTCATTATCTTGTACATGTAATTGTAACCCCTCTGTACAGTATTTTCACAATAAAAAAGTAAATAAAAAAAGAAGGAAATGCAAAATAGAACCCAAATAACTTGCAGAATAAAAATCATGGACATAATTTACCCAATTACAACAAACCTGACCACACTGAAGCCACAAGCACAACCATGCTTATTGTAGTATTACTTACCCAGAGCTAAGATATGGAAGCAACTCAGATGCCCCTCAGTGGATGAAATGATCAAGAAAATATGGTATACCTACACAATGGAATTCTATGCTTCCATCAGAAAGAATGACATTGCCCCATTGGTAAGGAAATGAAAAGACTTTGGAAAATATATTAAGAGAAGTAAGCCAGACCCAAAGAAACACAGATTGCATGGTTTCCCTCATTCGTAATAACTATGATATAATATATATATATATATATATATATATA